ATATTACATCATATCAGATGACTTAGATTACCTATGTGCCCGAAATAATTTGCATAAATTTAAAACTTAAAGACACTTGCAACATTCAATTCTGATTCTTTGAAAGGTATGAAAAACAATTACTCATTTGTAAGACTTGCATTAAAAGCTATATTTGCCTACCATCCGAGGCAACTAAAGATGTGACTTGATTACTTGCATGCCACAGTACCCTGAAGACGCGGTACGTTGCTCATAATATCAGCCACTAGTTTTCTTGCCAAGATGTGATGACTAATTTCAGGATGCCGTGGTAAGGCTTGAATATTGATAAAACAACAAATAAACATAACACATAACATGTTAAAGCCTTACGAGTACCCACAAATTGAAGGTATCAGCCATCAGATCAGGCTCTTAATTTTAATAAAAGATTAGTGTTACTAAAAAGGATGTATTTAATTTCATCGAGACTCGTTGTTTTCAGGCGTTGACCTTCTATTTTTATGTGAATTACTACTAGATATAACGTTGTAAATAAGTTGAAGCAGTTAATAATTTTCAAATATATTGCTATTTTATGGAAAAATATAATATACACTTACGTAAGAACCCTTGTAGGAATGTAATAATGAACAAGTATAAATAACAATTTAGCATGTAGTTTGTCAACAAAACTACTATATCACTTTGACAGGCGTATTCGCCAATAAATAAATTATGGTGACTGAAAATTGATATATAGGTCAGTTGCCACTTACAAAGTAATTGATGTGTTTTGTCTGTTGTGAAGCACTAGACAACGGGATTAAGGACAACCGTGGATTAAAGATCGATAAAATTCATTTGCTGAATACCAGCTTGTGCAAATATCTGAAGAGTGTATTACAAGAACAGATTCTTCTGGTCGTGATCGGGATTGAAGTGCATTGTATATATATTGGAAACAGCGACGGAATAAAATAAAAGCATTTACAACTAACCCTAAAGACTTCAAAATCAGAAAACTCCAAGAAGCAATCCACATCGAAAGACTCTAACCATCAATCAACCGTGATACAGGCTATTACATACCTCCTGTTCACCATCAATTCATCAAAGACTCTAATAAGTCCTTATCCATTTTTTCAATACTATTGGTTTCACCTGTTATAGATTTTACCTTACATCACCCGCATTGTCTACATGATATTGTAATTACACCCCTATCTACGCAACTGTATAAATACTGCCTCGTATATATGTTTTTCAACCATTCTCTGTACATAACTTGCTCGATAAAGATGTTAGAACCTACCCCGAAACGTCGTTCCTAATTGTTATAAAGAATAGATTCATCCATCGTATCATGTTTTACACGTAAAAGGATGCCACAATGAAAACACCAAGACACATAAACACAAAGTATCGAATGCATAATCGTTCCAAGCAAAATGCTAATGTGAATCAGAATATTTCTCCGTCATGTGTTATGCTTAGTATTGTCGAAAGAAAATTGCACTCTTGTGATATGCTTTTTTTTAACGTTGTTTTCGTGAACACCTGATGTCATCACTGATTTGTAATGGTTCACTCATATAATTCACACAGCTGTTTTGCCCATTACGAGAAATGGAATCTGTTTTCGGAGAATACTCCGGACTGGTTATTCGCTAACATTGACGTTTTATATTTACTTGAACAAGGTCGATGTTTCTGGAGGTAGACTGAAATCTCCGACTTTATCACCACTTTGTTGCTGAATGGATATATTTCTGAAACGTATTTCCTTTTTTTAAGGCTACAGAATCTCTTCCCTTGTACACAGCAAACGCAATTCGTATCGTTTGTATTAGTTTAAAAAAAATCGAGGCTGGGTTTTCTTGTTCATCGATCACTTGATTGCCTGGTTATTTACAGGCAGACGTCGCATGGCAGGATTACTTACATATGTATGCACATTTTGTGAATGGTGGTTGCCACGGTAGGGCAAGACATGCTAACCCTATTCTTGAACACCTGGTGTCATCATTGCTTTTCAGTGGTCCTTTCATATAATTTCCACAACTATTTTGGCCTTCACGCCCAATGGAATCTGTTTCGGCCATTAATCTGGACGTTGACGTTTCTTGCATTGACTTTTTATATTTAATGCCATGACGGCGGTCTGTAAATAATCGAGTCTGGGCAGACTATCCAGTATTTGACATCATGAGAATCGATCTAAACAATCAGGATGACATACATCGACTATGCTTGTCGTAAGAGGCTCGCTAAATTGGTGTCATTGTATCCCCATTGCGTGGATCGATGCTCATGATGTCAATCACTGGATTGTCTGGTCCAGACTCGATTATTTACAGACCGCCGTCATACAGCTGGAATATTGCTGAGTGCCGCGTTACACAACAAACCAACCAAACTCACTCTACCCTCGATATCAAGCGTGAATCTAATGACGTGTTGATCTTTCACCCCTGTTTGTCCACGTTGCTCAGGAAAGGTATGTATAAATCAAACCTTAAATCAACGTTGATATTCGAAGCCCCTTCTTACAGTCAAAGCGACGTCACTAGGCCATTGAACACACTCCATTTAGTGAATTTATTGATTTACTGATAACCTTGTGTTATGCTGTAGCCTGTACCTCTTCATTCTACCTCGTATACACATTAAAATAAGATTTATGGCTCAATCTGGTAAATAGAATACAAACATTTTCCATTCAAAGCTTTTGAAAGATAAAGTAATACTTAACATGATTGTACGACAGAGAGAACAGGCATGTACGAAATGGCGAGTTGATCAAATATGTTATTTCTGACACAACAGAATGCTTTGAACAGTATCACAGCTTGTCAGCTGATGCAGTGTAGTGTGGTCGGTCCTAAACGTGTACCAATATGGTGAAACCCAAGAAGATAGCTTAAAACAAAACATAACCGGAGAGTATCTTGGATTCGAACCCACGACTATGGGTTTCTGGCATGTATAAGGGACGTAAATCTGTAAAGCAAATTATGACCCCCCAATATGACTTAGACTCACGTGTTCCGGTTTCATATGGAAGTGGGTATTATGTTTATCATATTTTCTACAGCGTGTAATTACAATTATCATTTTTGCGATTTAAACGAAACATATGCTCTTAAAAAATTATTGACGTGTTTCATTTAGATATAATACATGTACACGTGTGCTCTTCAACCATAACGCACTTGACACTGATGACCGAATCACTGCCAGTACATAATTAGAAGTTCAGTCAACTGTGAGTGTTTTATATACTGAACCGCAACGGAAACGTCACCATGGATAGATATATGAGAAACCTAATTTGCCCAAACACTGTAAACATACTTTGAGATATATTAAAAAGATGAAACTTGGCAAAACTGATCATCAGTTGAAATTAAAGTGTCAAATGTTGTTAAAGTGAAATACAACACTAGTCTCTGAGAAAATGGCATCGCAAGTCAGTATCTCGTGTGTCCGCCATGTGCATTGATGACTGCCGTTCAACATCGATACATGGAATGGATGAGGTGGTTGATGAAGGCCATAGGCACTCGACGCCCACACTCTGAGGAACGCCTGACGCAGTTCAGCTGCAGTTGTTGGCCTTGATCGGACGTCATTCAGCCGTCTTTGAATCTCGTCCCACAGGTACTCACTGGGATTTAAATCGATTGAGGGCAGGCCATCGGAAGGTTCTGATGCCATTCTCCTGGAGGAAGTCTCTTGTTGCTCTTGCAGTGTGGGCACGGGCGTTATCATGCTGAAACTCGTGGTTGCCAAATGAGGTATGGCGTGTGGTCTCAAGACTTGATCAATGTACCGAGCTTTCTGGACCGATGTTCTGGAAGACCACAGGGCCGACCCTCTGTGCAAGATCAATTCCACCCCACACCATGATGCTGGGACCACCCCACGAGCATCATCTCTCAATAACACATGCATCTGAGTAATGTTCCCCACGGCGTCGCCAGACTCTCTCTTTGCCATCTGCTGTTGAGATACAGTAACGGCTCTCGTCTGAGAAGAGGACTCTTCTACACTGCTGGTGGTGCCAATGCTGGTGTTGTGTTGCCCATTGAAGACGGTCCCGGCGATGACGTGGTGTCAGAATGGGTCCTCGGTGTGGCCTGTGACATTGGAGGTGTCTGCTCGTCAATCGTCGACGCACGATGTCCGCACTAATGTGTCGCTGGTGTGTCCCCATGGTCTGTCGAGCAGTTTCCGCAGCAGTAACAAAGCAATCTCGACAATGCTGTCGCACAATCTGACGATCCTGACGTCGGGTGTTGACCCTTGGTCTTCCGCTACGTGGTCGGTCATCTGTAGTGTCGGCGGTTTGTGCAGCTTCCAATTGTCCACGGGCTTGGTGTCGCTAATTTCTTGTCAATCTTGGCATGTCGTAGCAATTCAATAACGAATGAATGTTATCCGATCTGGGTGGATTTTTATAGGGCAAGAAATGGGGGAACGCATGTGCATTTCAATTTGCACGGAACTCCCCTTACCATGGCCGTTGCCGTGATGCGTTTTGGTGATCGGTTTTATTGTCATCAAATAGTAATGTTAAATTTTAGAAACTTTGACAAAAATTACCCAGATATTTAAATGACAACTTTTCATGCAATGTTACTTGGGGTGACGTTTCTATTGCGGTTCAGTATAGTTTGAGGACTCTAAGATCAGCATTAATCAACGATACCATGCCTCATGATTAAAAATCGGTTTATCGCCATTGTTCAAGCGAACTGCAGTGACAGTAAATGCAATGTACAGTTTCTGCTCCTTTTTGAATTGTAATACATCATTTTGGACCAAAGTTGCTCTGACAGCTGAAGCTGACATATCAATAAATGTCTTTATTCGATTACGCTGTGTCCCGGGGTTCTTTGAAGAAAAACAGAAATGTTAAGTACACGTACACACGCTTCAGGGTCAACATTCTTGGAGCTCCAACGTGCGCTTCATATGTAAGTGGACCTGGTGATAACACTGACTATTTTCAAAACCCGCTGTATGAGCTCAGGGATAAGGCTCTTATTCAACGATATACCTGAACTGTCGTTGACAAAGGCAGACACATGTATGATTGCAAACAGTAAGCACGTATACATGGACTCGTGTAAATCAGATCACAACTGTTAAATTTGACAGACCACATCTGTCAAGTTTCAGACTTTATTTGGAAAATGCCGACACTGTTGTTCGTATTCGTACTCGCAACACTTGGGGTCAACTCTGCTTGTGGAACATGTGTGGCAGACTGTGACTGGAGTGTGGGAGAGTGGGGAGAATGCAGTAGATCATGTGGCGGAGGGTTTCAAACCAGAAACAGGACCCTGTGTTGTCATGACAACGAGTCTACAGAAACATGCCTGGAGCGATGCCACAACAAGTCCTATGCAGGTGCCCCAGACACCCACAGAACGTGCAACAACGTATGCTTCAATGGAGGGACGTTCGATGGCAACACTGGTGTATGCAGATGTAGACAGGGGTGGACAAGTACATGTTGTCAGAAGGGTAAAATCCTTTTATGTTATTCATTTCTTCACAATTGGTTGCGTTTAACGATTTTTGGAAATCTGACAATGCGACCAGTAAATAATCGAGTCTGGACGAGTGATTAATTCTATGAGCAACTACCCGCGCTGTCGCGGTACATTGACAGGCAAACAACCAAGTCGTCGAGCCTGAGCACATAATCCCTTTAGTCGCCTTGTACGACCAACGTACTTTACTGATGGCTGAGTTTAGTACAAATTAGTTTTTCATAAAAAAACAATGCAGCTTTGTTTTGTGTATCAGTCAAAGAAGAACACACATGTGGGTATTCCAATTAGTTGTAGGGGGAATGGGACCAACTTACTTAGGTGGACATGAATACGTCCATACATGCTTGCAATTTCCACTTACCCTGCTAATGTCAGACCATAGCGTTACTTTTTACTGCATTTTACAACACAAACAGTTATATGACATGAGCCCCCTAACCACAACGACGCCCCCCCCCCCCATAAATTCCGGATAGTTATAGGTCCCCCAGCAACCCCCGACAACGTAGGTGTACACCTACTGGCGTAGGTTATATATTCAGATATTCAGACAGAAGTATTTCTATTACAATACGACCATCATAATTATATTTGGAAACGCATTTGTCCCTGATCAACAACCGGCTTTGTCACCGGTAAGTTTGTGTATTAATCGATGGAATCAATCATCTTGATGATAAATTATTTTAATGGAAATATTTACATTAATGTTATACAACTATAATGCAAAGGTGTCAACATACACGAACCACTTTGTGAGTTTAAGGTCAAGACCTTCCCAACCCATACATGTATTTTTGTAGGCTTGTAATGGTAAACAACTCTATTCAAAGATATAAGGTGAGATGAGGTGAAATTGGGTTTAACGTCGCGTCCAAGATTATTGCACTTATATAGCGACGTGCATGCATGCATGTGTGTGTGTGTGTATGTGTGTGTGTCTGTGTGTGTGTGTGTGTGTGTGGGGGGGGGGGGGGGGGGGGGGGCTGCTTGTACTAGACCGGACTGATGCCGATTTATAAGGCTCACTGAGATACCATTCCGCAGTTTAAAATGAAAAAAAACACTCAGACACAGAATACTGACTCCGAGCCGAACAGTCCTTGTTTTAGCCCCTTAATACCGCCATACAGGGTAACAGCAAGTACCATCTTTTGATTTCTTTTGGTATGTCGCGGCCGGGGGTCGAACCCGGACCTTCCGCTCTCCGGGCGGACGCTCTACCACTAGACCACGGAGGCGGTCCTCAAAGATATAAAATACCATGATCAACATAGACATTTAGCAACTGATCTGCAATCCCATGTGTATACACACATGCATGTGATAGCTGATAAAACTATGAGACATACCTTGAAAATACCAAGATTTACAGTATGTATATGGGAACTTACATCTTGGACACTCTTCTCATATTCCAAAATACTTTAAAATATCTTTTCTTGACTACATATGCCTTTGTAACTGTCGGGCCACGGCTCGCAGATTGTGTTCTGTAATTTCTAGCTAGGTGGCTTTTGCAAGTAGTGTAATGTTTGCACCTACAAGTGACCCGGTCATTCCACTTGGGTGTAGGGCGTTATTCATTTTGGAATTTCAATGTGGACTTGATATTTCTCGTTTGAACAGATGACTTTGTCATTACCATTCGTCATGAGCGTTTTTCATCATCATTCTCAAATTGCAAACATATAGGGGACTCAACACCCGCCGATACCCGACAGATAATGCGTCTTGCGGCCTCACGAATGGATTGTCGTACCCACCGACAATTAGTGAAAACGGAGCGCTAACAGATAATCCCGCTCAAACACAGTATCAAAACAGAACCTGAGACGGACTCTGACCCCGACAATACACGGTAAACAGATTGATTGCGGATAACAGCCCATCCAATGCTAGCGGAGGGGCCCAGTAAGTAAATCCGGAGCGTTGAGAAATATTCAAATATACATATAGTTAGTTTGCAACAATGGCTATCAACAGGAGACTATTTTCCACATCGTCAGGGATTTTATAACAGGTGATGGGAGATCAAACTTTAAGATCACGCTCATGGTAATTGCACTATATGTAACGGCTATGCACATATTTGTACAGCTGTTTGTACTAGTCTGCTTGGCTAATGCCAGTTCTATAGTGTTAGCGCACTCAGATACCATACCACAGTTTAACCTTGATACCTTACACAGACGCATACAGGCTCCGAGCCGACCAGTTCTCGTTTTATCCCTTTAATGCCGATCATGAGACAGGGTAACAACAAGTACCATCTTCTAACGTCATCTGGTATGACGCGACCTGGGATCAGAGCACCGACCTCCCGCTCTCCGTGCAGACGCTTTATCAACAAGTCTACGGAAGCGGTTTTCACTTATATAGCTTCGTTCATGTGCGCGCGTGTGTGTGTGTGACAGGTGTGTATGTACACGTCATATCAACAACAAAACGTATCCTCTCTTGACGTCTTTTGGGTTGACACGGCCAGGGTATCGAATCTCCGAATTCGCAATCTCTTGACAGGCGCTCTGTCCACTTCACCAAGAAGGCGGCTGGTGCCCACAACAACCCAAGCCCGCAAACGATCCAGCGGTAGTTAGGGAGCATAGTGGGACACGAGTCCTGCTAACCAGCGGGCTTGCTAAGAAATGTCGTAAGCAAGGCCGCATCGGATTAGTCGAGGTCCGACTGAATAACAGTAATTTACACAGACATGCTTATATAATAATAACAAAGACGGAGTTTTACAAAAATTTTAAAATTATTTTAAGCTAATAATGCGATGAGGTAGTTCAGGAAACATCTAAAGATTTTATATTTTATCACAAGATTGTATGCAGCAGAGATACGTTTTGAGTTGCCATTTTTACAACAATTCCTCCAACCCCCCCCCCCCCCCCCCCCCCAATTATTATTAAAGAGATGAATGACATTACTATTAAAGGAGAAGAATGTCACCGTGTTTTTCTCATGGATTAGGTATGCTATGCGACATCGAACATCACCTGGCAAGATCACGTATGGTTTATTTCATGCATATACCCCTTTACATGTATACATTACATTACACTTTGAGATAAAATGGCAGAGTAAGGGTCATTAGAAGTTTCAACTTTCAGTCTAGTCGAAGGTAATATCAAGGGCAAAATTCAAAATATCTTAAACAACGGAACACTTATGGGGGGTGGGGTGGGGTGGGGTGGGGGGTGCCCCCACCCCCAACCCCACATCACCCACCAACCCCACCCCCCACCCCCTACTAACAACACGTACACCCCATTTCATTACATGTTGGAGAAACATGTCTGGGTAATTGCCATTTATAGGTTTTCAATAAGTCGGCAGTGGCGGTGATATTTAAATTTTTTACAACGATATGGCCGTTGAGATAGATCAAATTCGAACTAACTTAAATTCTGATGCCATTGGGAACAAGCGCGTGAAGTTTCAGCTACATTGGCCCAGTGGCTGCTTGTCAAGGAGATGATATTTACATTGAAGGGATACATTATTACATTTTGATATAATTCATCAGCATGGTCAAAGTGCTAAAGTCAAATAAAGGTCAAAATTTAAAATATCAGGAGAGATATAACAAATGTTGATCTCCAGTACCAACAATAGAAGTACCAAAATTCGTGACATTATGAATGACTGACCAATGGCCACAATATGTTTCAGCTTTCATTGTGGTCGAAATTCGAAGGTCAAAATATCGCAAACAAACTGACCCCACTAACAACCAAACGTGTACTTTATTATATAGTCAGCAACAAAAGTTTCTGTGACATTCCTTTCCAATTGGTTGCATACAAGAAAAACCTTTCTGGTGTTCAAATCGGATACGAAAATATGAAAACATGTAGCATAAACGCAACTTAAGCAGAAAAGTAGGATCGGATGGCACAAAGGGTTTGGGATTCGGTATACATTGTTTCTGCTTGTCTTGACAACTGCAATACGGAAAAAAACATCACATTTCAATCATTATTTGAAGTGTAGTCGACCGGGGGTTATTGTGGGTATATATATATATTTAAGAACGTAGTGGGTGGGTTAGTTTAAGGGTGAGTTGAACAGCTGACGTAGTACCTATCTTTGTAGTCCTTGCGTAGTAGCCTATGCCCACGCGGGCGTTGTGGCTGGGAAGACGTGACGATAACACGCTTCTTTCATGCTCGGCTAGGCGGAAGCCATGATTGAGAGAGCCGAAATGTAAGGAGCGTGTTCATTGGTCGTGTCCGTTTTCCTGGTCACATGGTCCGCGTGTTGGCTTTATAAGCCTACCCTGGGTAGGGAATCGTCAGTACCTGATAAGCAAGGTCGACTCCCGCGTCCTGAATCAGGATCATTCATTATTATTTTAGGGCTTCCGTTGAGGTGTTAGATGAAGATGTACGGGTGGGGGAAAAGTAGAGTAGTGATTGAATAGGTTTGTTAATAGACGTTCTACTTTGGGAGTTAAGTTAGACCAGTGGTTAATAGTACAAATTTAAGTTATAAGGGTGAATAGGTTTAGGTTAGGTTAGGGAAGGGGGAAAATTACGTAGGGTATAGAAAAGGTTAGGATTGCCCCTATTGTTTTGTTTTGTTAAATAAACTTTAAATCCAACTTCATTCTTTGTGTTTTCTTTATGATTAGAATTGATAACCTGGTCAGGAGCCTCCTAGAACGTAGAGACATAAGAATACTGCCCAGGGAGAAGAGAACACAATGCAAAATACTGCAGTATAACATCTGACTTTTTGTCAAATATCTCTATAAGTCTACTGTCACTGGGCGCCTTTTACAGGCTTTAGAGGGCGCCTATTACAGATTTGGTGCCGAGACCAGGATCTGGTTATATTTTTCAATTTCTAGTTATAGTCTGTTTCTGAAAACTAAGTTAAAATTCAAGTGAAAATATGGCTGAAGGTTTAGGTTTAAATTGGTCAGTTTTGTCTGAGACTGATGATGATCATTTTCTT